TTTATCCCATGAGCTCCACCTGAGTTTTGATCATTTGATCTCTATAAACCCTTCCTTGTTTCAAGTGTATATCAGTAGATGTGTGGTTTCCCACTTTTGATATGATGAATTTGGCCGAATTGTTATTGCATGTCATGTGTGGTTTCCCACTTTTGATGTGATGAATTTGGCCGAATTGTTATTGCATGTCACTCTACAGCATATAGTTAAGATCTCTATGAACCCTTCCTTGTTTCAAGTGTATATCAATAGATGTGTAGTTTCCCACTTTTGATACAATGAAAGCATATAGTTAAAACCAGTGTTTGAAAAGTAGTTGAACCGAACTCGCCTTGGTTTTCCTCGGGAATCGACACCCCGATGACATCATAAATCAGCAGTTCTAACATCATCAATTTCCGGTTCTACACGTGGCACAACGTCACCCCGCCAGCACCTCCCACACGTTGGGCTACCTCAGTGGTTTCACACATGTACCTTAATAGCTATTAAATAGTTAGTTATAGAGAGAAGTTTGATACATATCCTTGGATGTGGGATAATTCCCACAAACATCATTAAATGAAGACAAAAAGTGAATATGTATATTAATAGGAGGCATAATGTTACATGCGGTGAGGTGGTGTTGATGGTTATTACTTTCAATTTCTTCCTTGATGTCACAAGATTGAATCCCCTTGCTTGGGCATTGTAAATAAAATATAGCGCTATAAATTATTTTTGTTGTAAATAAAATAAAAGGCGTAAAAAAATGAAAATAAAAAAGTTTATTCTATTTGAAATCTCTCTCTACTAACAATCTCTTTCACTAAATTTATTCTAGAAACCTAAAAAATTAAATTTTTCAAAAATTAAAGTTTTATTTCGAAAATTGGTATGTATTTTAATAATTTCTACATTGATAACCAAATCTTTTATTTTATTTATTAATTTTTACATTATAAATCATGTAATGTACTATTTTTTAATAGTTGTCAATAATACATTTTAAATTAGATAATATTATAAAATATTTTGGATTTGTTATTATTTATATAATAAAATAATTATAAAATGTAAACCAACAATTTTAATTTCAGTATATAATATTATAGTTAGTTAGGTTGTAATAATTTTGGATTATAGTTAGTTAAGTTGTAATAATTTGGGTTTTTTTAGCGGATTAGGGTTTTCCGTCAATTCGAGATTTTAGTGGCCATTTTTTCATCGATTTAGTCTACTCTTTATTGTAGTCCATGTATAATTATATATTTTATCCATGATAATTCTATGATTTTTCTTTTATGTGAAATAAATTTAATGGTTAACATAAGTTTATACAGGGAAAGAACATTTCAATATTCACAAATTGATGAAAAAAAAGAAAGTTAATAATGTAGTACCCTCATTTCTTATTGGATTCCTATAAGATAAAATTTATAATGAATTTTAATAATTTTTTTAGATTTTTTTTAAAGCCTACTCTGCCCGATTCAGCCGATTCTCGATCTGGATCGTCGATTCACCGATCCGGATGGGTTTTTGGAGTGCTCGATCCGGAGCACTGATCCGGTTTTTAAACCACGTATTAAAACTTAAGGCCCTGAACTGGGCCCCAAGTGGTCTGATTGGCTTCCCATAGACATGTTGCTTCCTTCACTTTGCATATGTGTATTGCAATGTTGCCGGTTATATTTTCTTGAGTTCTTTAAAATCATTTGATGTTTCATTTTGCATTATAAAATTCACTTTGCATATGTGTATTGCAATGTTGCCGGTTATATTTTCTCGAGTTCTTTAAAATCATTTGATGTTTCATTTTGCATTATAAAATTGAATGAAGTAGAATTTCATAAGCACCTCATACTTGTCTAGTTCATTTACCTCCATGTGCAATTTGATTTTGTATTTGACAACGGACCCTAATTGAGTTGTATCCTCTTATTTTTTAGTGTATAAGAAGTGTTTTGTTCATTGTAACCACAATTGTGTTGTATTTCAAAGTCGTAAGCGCAATTGCATTGAATTGTGCAACGTTTTGAGCATGATTAGCAAGTCGGGAATAATAATATATTGGTAAACCAAAACATCGATAGTAAATCGGATTTATTTTTAAAAAGTCGAAGGAAAAAATCGGGTAAAAAATACGGATCGCCCACAAATAAAGTAAGTTATAGAATGGTGAATATTTCAAATTTGGCTAAAAAACAGAGTGAAAAAGTCAGATACGTAAAGATGACATAATATAGGATTATAGGATAATGGTTTGCAATTATTGTATATATATGTTAAAGCCATTGAAGGGTAATTTTATGGCTTTGCCTAGTGTCATTAGAATAATGTTGAATATGTTTTTGTCGAAACTCTCAATAAATCCAATAGCAATGCTTGCTCTATAAAATAAAACACAAACATCCGAATGCGTAAAATAGTAGTCCATTCAAAATGTTATATTATATACACCAATGAAATAAAAAATAAAAATAAAAACATGAAATTAATCAAACTGCTCTATGCATAAAAAAAGCAACAAAATGCTTAAACAAATTCAAATCCCACATTGAATTCCTAGTTGCTTAAACCTTCAGTATCATTGAATATCTCTCTTGCTCTCTATAAGGACATTCAAGGTTTTAAGGAAATTTTTTTTTTTTCATTGAGTTACTCTTCTTCTAATTCTTCCTATTATTGTGAGACATACTATCATTTTGTTATCTTAGTGTTCGAAGAATATATTGCTTGTATTTTTCATATACTTTTTCTAGGGGAACATACTGGTGAAGTTTTTGATAGAATTTTTTGTCAAATCAAGATTCTTAATTTACTCCCGTGTGCTTGTCTTTACACATAAAATTTAATAATATTAAGTTAATGAAGAAATCAATTTATAGGGTTAAAGTTTTCTTGAAAAAAAAAACGAAATTATATCAGTTCCATTAAAAACTTTGATTTTTTGAAGATCTTTTGAAAAACTCAGAGATCTTAATAGATATGAAAAAAATTAAAGATCTTTTTTATTAAAAAAATATATTCTAAATGGAGATTTGCTAACTATGGCTTTGAGTTGTATTGTTGTGCGTTTGTGACATAGCTTAAGGGCAAGTCTATAATTTGGATGTTTTGCACCCTCACTATTTATAGTGCAAACCTAGGGTCATCGGGTCTAGAATTTTACGGTGACAGATTTGCAATCACTGTGAAGACTTAATCTTAAATCATAGATATTGGAGACATGTGGGGTGAAGAGATCAAATGGTCGTAACCAAGGTCTCAGGAGGGGTGGGCTAGAATCGGTCCTAACCTTTGGCTTATGCACAAAGTGACCGCTCTCAGGACTCGAACCCGCGCTCTTGCGTTGGGTACCTGAACTTTTTACCATCACACCAAGTGACAAATAAAATCCACATTTAAAGACCTCCCATCTAGTTAGAAACACCAATCTAATTGCAATTCCAATCAAAGATTGGAGATGCTTGAGAATTGTCAATCTGCTTATTCGAAGCAATGAAATCAAGGAGGGGCAAAGCTTGAACTAACACATGGCAAGTATCATTAGGGTGGGGTGTGCCACCCTAAGTGGTACTTCATAGGCCCCCCACATGCAATGGTGGACCCATTAACATATAGGGTCTCCCATGCAATATTAAAATTATTAAAATTAATATTTGATTTTTAAAAATCTATAAAGTCAAATTTGAATATTTAAGTCAATCTAAAATCAATATATCTATTTTTATAAATCCAAATAGTATTCATTGATGATATTCTAATTTATTCCAATAATCGGGAAGAGCATGAGAAACATGTGAAGATGGTATTACAAATACTAAGAGAAAATGAGTTGTATCCCAAACTAAGTAAATGTGGATTTTAGTTAGAACAAGTGACATTTTTAGATCATGTGATATCAAAAGAAGGTTTATCTGTTGATCTTTCAAAGGTTGAAACTGTGATTAATTGGAAGCAACCAAGTAATGTTACTGAAATCCGAAGCTTTTTTAGACTGACATAATATTACAAAAGATTTGTAGAAGGATTCTTTTGAATTGTGGCTCCATTAACTCAATTGATACAGAAAAATGTCAAATTTGAATGAACAAAGGAATATGAGGAAAGTTTTCAACAATTAAAAGCTCGATTGACTTCAACACCTATTTTAACTATTCCTACGAGAAATGGAGGATTTGTGATTTATAGTGATGCTTTACACAAAAGCTTAAGTTGTGCATTAATACAAATGTTATCACAAGTGTTAGTGATGCCAACACTTGGCACTTGTTGCAAGTGTTATCTGAGAGGTCAGTGAGTATTTTGAGGACCTCTTTGGTAAATAAATGACTTGGTTTTGAGGACCTCTTGTGTTGGTGTATTGATGTTGTTCATATGTTACAGATATGACAAACCAATAAGAGCAGTTTCCTAGAGGAAAACCAAGGACTAAAAGGAGAAAACTTTCATGGGATTTGTGGGCATGTAAAAGACCTATTTATGAGACATGTAAAGGACTTGATTAATTTTTTGAATTTTGGAGATATGTAAATACACCTTTTTATAGTTGACTTTGGGGGTTATGTGATTATTCAATATTCATGTAATTTTACGGGCACGTAAAGGACCTATTTATGAAGGCATATAAAGGACCTCTTTGTGGAGCATCTAAATAACCGATTTGGTGATTTTTTGGTAGCTGACATTTCTTTCGTTTTCATGTATGTCATTAACATGTGCAATGTGGGTTTACTTGGATAGTTAAATGCATTTATATTCCTATAGTTCTCACTTTATTTTATTTTTTTATGTTGAGCGTGTTTGATACATTTTCACCTTTTACCATGCTAAAAAGTGTGCAGAATAGCTTTATAACCATCACAGACCTGCTTTGGATAACCAGCTCTCTCTCTCTCTCATAGGCTTCGGATTTGAATGGTCTCTCTCTGTGTATATGTGTTTATATGTGTCTCAAAAAACAAAATAACGACATAAACTCAATAATACCAGAAACCAGAGAATTTCATTCACAAAAGATTACCATTAATTAAACAATAACCAATTACAATCATTTACAAACAATTGAAAAGATACAAGGAGGTTAAACACCTCATGAAATAGGAAAAAACTAGATAAAGCTTCAAAAAAAGTAACCCAATTGAACTGACTCAACCACCAACAATTAATTTATTTCTTCTTGCTTCTTCAAGTTTTAGTCTCTCATTCGAATGATGCAACGAAGGTCATCCCTTTTGAGCATGTATTCAAAAATTTTATTGATCTCTGAGAATGAGACTGAATGTGTGATGAACTTCTCCATGTGACCTGTACTTCTACTTTCGTGTACTTCTGCTTTCATGTACTAAGAGTCTTCAGAGCTTGTCTGAGCTCAATCTGCCTATTAATATTAATCCAAACAAGAAACAGTCATCTGACTGCAACACATAGACTTGCATGCTATGACCCCCCTACACACTCCCAAGTATCATCTCACATGCACAAATACATATGCAAACACACATTTAAACATTCGCACCAACATATATAGATGCTTGAAAAATAGAGACGGTTCATGTTAAAAAGAGAAAAGTAGTGATGAAAACAAAGAAAGAAATGATTTGAAATACAAATCAATTGCAATATTTCTACACAAGTCATATTTTAGTATCTTAGTGCCCTCAAAAGATTAGAGTAACTTACAAGCCCACGACTTCGAGATCCATGAGCAATGGACAAATAGATAATGCTACACATGATGAAGCATTGTCCATCCTTTCAATGTTGTAAAGGTGCAATCTCTTCAAAAGAGCACTTCGTCCACCGGGCTATGATAATTCCAGACATTCATGAAAATGGAAATGCTTACTTTGACATTGTGAGCAAGCCATAGCCCAACGTCATGGTGTAACTGATTCCCAGATGCATCAGTTTCATCAACTGCCCGCATGGATTGGGCAACAAGCTCTTGCCATGCACCTTCTTCTAACACAATGACCATGTGACCATTTTCTTTCAGTCGCTTTTCTATGAAGTCAAACAGGCCCCCTTCTCCCTCTAGGTAAAATGGAGATTCAGGAATCAAGCAACAGTCCTGGAACATTAGCAGGAAACAAACTCCCATAAGAAAATTAAACTATGCTGCAGGAGAAAAATAGGCTGAGTAATAAATTTAGGGGAAGTATATTTTAATCACTGATGGAAAACAATAGTCCACTGAGATCATCATCATCCAGTGAAATAATGGATGTTGATGATGAATAGGGTTGGGCCATCACCAGTATCATCATGCCTTGTTCTGCCAGGTCCCTTCTCTCTCTCCATTGAAGTCCATTTCATTGGATAGTGATGAACTCAGTGGACTTTCCAAGGTCCTTCGGTTTATAATATACTTTTCCATAGATTTATATGAATAGGTTAGAAAGGGAGAAAGTTGTTAGATAATTACGATTATAAAAAATGTTTCAGTCTCTTACCACATCCCTGCTTGCTAGAGTTGCATACATGGCAATGAATTCTGTAAAAATTAAAATATAAAAAGTTATAATTAACAATAGGAAAGAGTTTATATAAGGTTGCAACCTTACCTCTACAGCTACGGATACACCTCAAAAATCCATCAAAAAAGATAATTTTAATGTTGAAAAG